TAGGTTTTCGACTATCCATCAATACCGTTTCCAGCTCAACAAGACGATTGAGTCTGTTCATCAGCTCGTTGACTACCGCTCTGACCTATAATGAGCTTTTGAATGTCTTCTGAAACTTCTTGAAGGCAGTCCGGCAAGATTTGGATATTGAGATTTCTAATGTGGAATAACTGGGCTGCATTAGCTGAGCTGTTGTAAAAGTGCCACCCAATATGATTCATTGACCGCAAAGTTAGGGTCGAACCTCTCACCCAGTACCGTACTCCAATACGCTGATTCCGCCCTAGAATACAATTCGGGAGAGATGCAAAGTTTTTGATCGAGAATGTATTCGAACTCCGCAAGGTTGATTGAAGACCTCCAGTTCCAAACAATGAGCCCAATTACCTACATTTGTCCCGACACTGCCCTCAATGTGACACCACCTACCCTCTTCGGAAGCTTTTCCACAAATCTCATTTGTCTCTCGGACTGAGTGGTATCATCCTCAGAATCGCTGTCACTACTATCGCGATGATTTTCTTCAGGGCATGGCCATGTCATGACGTACAGATCCATGCGCACAACAACATCAGAAACGTCTAAAAATTACTCAATAGCCAAAGTTATAGCAGAAGTCCCGGTTTACTGTACCATATTCTTTTGGTTTCATGCTGCTTTCTCTCAGCACCTCATGAACACAAGTGGGTAAAAATGTAAGAGGAAAAGTATCCATGGATTTATCCGGATATTCGATGGAGCACATGAAGTAGATGAAGAGCGGGAAGTCGCCTCCATATGCATTCTGAAAATTCTGCTTCATGCAGTGCGACCAGTGCACAGGCTGTCTCAATGCAAGTGTCAAAACTTCAGCGGCTCGGGTTGTCGCAGCCGCCTCGCTCATGTCTTGCGCCGCACTCGAGAACGTATCCCAGGAGCATTTTCCACGCCTGAGCCGAAGAATAAATGTTAATGAGCGTGGGAAAATGTCAAAGATACGTTTGCGAATGCGAGGCGGTCGTGCAGCTGGCGTCCTGACACTCAGATTGAGATAGCCTGCGGCTCGACTAACCCTAGCATTTTTCTCTTCGGCTTTTAGCTTTTCACTTTCATTCTCCCCAAACAGAGCATATCTAAGCCTAAACTGATCCAGTGGACGATCAGATCGTCTCAACGATCCCGCCGAAGAGAATGCTTCTTCTGGACTTCCGTCGTCGCCTGGAAATTTACTGATTTCAAGAGGTGGCTGAGCAAATCCATCGCTAACAACCTTGTTGCTCGGGCAGAGATGTGCTATTTCTTCTCTCTATAAAAGTCCCATCCCAACCTCTTGGCGGGTGTTCACCGAAAAGTCCACTAAATGTTGCCATTTCCGATGCTACGGGATGTCGCGCATCACTTTCTTTGCTAAACAAATTTTGAAAATTGATTTTGAATTTGGGAGTGGGGGGGGGGAGGGGGGAAAGCAGCTTCCCCAAGCACTCACTGTTGTGGCGTATAGTAGAAGTACGGCAAGCCTGGGACCTGGTTAAATGTACCATGAAGAATCTTCTTGAACGTAAGCTGCACTCTGCCTTCCCCACAAAAAGTTGTATCGGAGGCATCTCCTCCTCCCTAAAAGTAGATTTGGTTAGATTGAATGAGATTTCATGCCAAAAGAGCAAGTTACCTTCGCCTCCTTGTTTAGATGTGAGCAGAATGTGCTCAAACTCTTTGCTACACCATCAACTTCAAGGCTTGTGCATTCACATTGTTCATCAAGGATGCTCCGAACTACGGCATGGTCCATGGTGATACCTAAACCCAAAGCAATAGTTTTTCACACTTTTATTCGACTGCCATGATTACTTAAC